TTTTAGAATAGAAAAAGAAATAAATAATTAAGTATATAAGGTGTATTTTATCCTTTAACCTAATTTACATAAATATACTTTCTTTAACACTCCCTTTTAAAGTAAAAAATAGATATTGTCTGTTTCTACTTTGCCAATGATATTTTGGAATGCTAGATTGCTTAGACCTTTAGTTAATGCATCTGCTAGTTGTAAATTGGTAGACATATATGAAGTACATGTTAGGTCACTATCAAGTTTCTCTTTGATAAAGTGTCCGTCAACTTCGATATAATAGGTTCGGTCATGTTGCACTAGATTGTATGTAATGCTTATGACTAACTTGTAGTCACAGTATAGGCACATAGGACTTTTCCACTTGATTTTTATATATTCTAAATTCTTTTTATCCATAGTAGCTCAATTATTCTTTGGATCATTGCTCGAAATTCTGATTCTGCATGTGACACAACAACTATATTTTGCTTCTTACTTCTCTAGGTAACTAGACTATCCGCAAGAAAAGGTACAATAACCTGTTATAGTTTTCCATCTACCGTTGCTTCTATTCTTCCTAGAGAAGATTCTTTTCTCAGGTGACTCCTTTAGGTAATGCAGTATTTTGTAAACTGCTGTGAGTGTGTTTCTTTAGGTGTTGTGCATAAACTTACTTATAATTCTTTTCCCACAGATGATGTTTGGTCTTATGTGGGATATGTATATCAATTTCCCATCTTTGGTGCATCTCCTTATCTATTAGTGTGTTTTCTTTGACCACTTCTAACTTATGATTGGGGTCAATAGGGGGTACTAGCCACTCTATATGCTAGTTTGCTGGTACTTTTAAATAGATCATGAATGTATTTTGCTGAGAAATGAAAATTTAAAATTTTGGGCGAATGACTTCAATTTTAAGAAAATACTTCAATTTATGTAACTCTTTGATTTTGATTTCCCTTGTTAGGCATTGTTTTAACATCATTTTTTTTTTATTATCACCTGTTACAAAAATGTTATCAACGTATGATAAGAGAGTTGAAACTTCCCATGTCTCTGAGTGTTTGACAAATAGAGTGCAGCTTTCCTGAGTCTGCTTATATCCCAGACTTATCATTACCCTTGAGAATCTGTCAAACCATGTTTTTGCAATTGTCTGAGTTCATAGTTCAACTTATACACTTTACTGCTGTTTCTTTGGCAAAATCTGGTTGAATCTTCATGTAGATTTTTTCTTCCAAGTCTTTATACAAGAAGATATTTTTCACATTAAATTGTGGTAGTTACATCAAAATGAGCAGTTAAGGACAACAAGATCCACACTATGTTCATCTTGATTACTAGTGCAAATGTTTCCTGGTAATTTATCCCATAAATTTGTGTATAACCCTTTGCCACGAGACTTGGTTTATACCTCTCGATTGTCTCATCTGCCTTGTATTTGATTGTAAATACCCATATGCATCCCGCATATTTTTCCTTTTGATAGACAACACTTCTCATGTCTGGTCCTTCTCTAGTGCCTATGAAATGATACACAGCCTAGATTGGCTGAAATTAGCTGTTATTCCGTATGGAATTTCTCATGGGATTTTTTTTCAATATTTTGCGATGTTACCTCCAACATTCTTTACGAGTTGCAGGAAAATTAATGGCAAATATAAAAATTATAGGAAGAGTGTTATTGGCTGTATGAAATGGGTAAGGCGTGCGAATAGCTGGGCAGAGGTTGGCTAAGTATGCGGGACAGAGATGGATGGAAAGGTGGAGGTGCATGGTTCAAGGGAGCAGCGGCTGGCTGTGCATGCGGCTGTTCTTTGCATGGCAGAGGAGGGTCAGCAGCTCCTTCTAGCTGCTTCTAACAGTGCAAGTTGGAGGCTAGGGCCGGCCATGAAGGGACTTGTGGCTGAATTAGCAACTGGAAGCTGCATGCTGGTTGCGCACAAACAGAAGCTGCACGTGCAACTGGACAAAGTTGTATGTGACTGGAGGCACAGTTAGATAGTTCTGGAGCCGGTAATGAAGGTCGATCTTGGTGTTGGTGGTTGGTCTGTGGTGGTCGACATCTGGGTTTGGGTGGCCAACAATGAAGGCTGTCCATAGGGATGTATTAATTCGTCAATGAATGCCGGTTAAAATTTATTAAGGAGGTCTAGGTTTTTCTTTTTTTCCCTAGAACTCTGGTATGATGTAAAGAGTGGTTGAATATGTATTTCATTAAATATCACAGCTCTATATATAAATTTTTTCTATAATAAAAAAGGAAATAAACAATTATGACATAGAGTTTACCTAACCGTTATACTATTTAACTTAATTGACATGAAATACACTTTCTTCAACGGATATTAATTGAGTGATGGTTGGTAGTGTGAGGGATGAGATTCGGCATGAAAAGGGATCAGTAGAGTTAAGAACTCTGCAAGCCTTCTTCCTTTGGCTACGTTTTGGATGGCTTGGAAAGAAATAGAATAGGGGAGCTTTGGATGGTATAAAAACTAATTTTGATAGGCTTAAGGACAAATGGTTCAAGACCTTAGGTTTTTTAATTACGAGTCATCTTCTTTATTCTTGTCCTTATCTTAAGGACTTGATTGATTTTTTGTTAAAATCATGTAAATATTTTTTATACACATTTTTCATCTTCTTGGTGCCTGTGAATATATATTATTTTATTTCATAAAAAAAATAATAAGAGTAGTAATTCTATAATTCTTCTTTGCGTGATAAAGTCTTGGCAAGCTCATGACGATACTGAGATTCGAAGTGTGTCGAAGCTCAATGTCCACTTCTTTCTACCTGTTTAAGCCAGTGATAAATATTTGAACCTCCTATTCTGAATTCAAGGAGCTTACATGGGCTGCCAACTACTCGAATTCTCTCTCACATTAGGTGTTGTTAGTTTGTGGCAGTTTATACTGTTCACCTAGCTTAAATGGGAGGACTGAACCTCAAGTTGTAATTCTGAGCTTCTGCCTCAAGATGGAGCAAAGCTAGGTCTACTTTCCATCTTTGAGATTTCTCTCGGTGCCAGGAAATATTCTCATATAAACTAAGCCACTAACAAATTTGTGTTACTATCAAAACAGAAGTTAAGTATTGTGTATTTAGGACACACTTTTTTCCTTCCACTGATTAGCTATGTTTTTCTGTTTCTTGCTGCTGTATGAAGAAATTAAGAAATGTTTTTAGATAACCACAGTGCTGTCTTTTGGTGCCTGAAACCTCATTTGGAGAGGATTTCAAGCTGCTCCATTAAGATCCTCATTTTATCTTTCAATGTCGTGCAATCTCTCTATCTATATGTATATATTGCTGTCCTGGTTTCAATATTCTTGGTACATGTACAGTAATCCTTCAAAATTTCCACATATTTATGGTCAGGCTACTGCGGTAGCTCCTTGTTTTATCTATGCTCTTGAATTTTGAGTCAAAGATTTGTTAACAAAAAATCCAAGGTGTTTTTCGTAGCAAAAGACATTAACAAAACAATTCACACTCCTAACCAATTAATTCTTTTCCCTAATGTAACTCAAAGAAGAATATATTCAATGCAAAAGAAGAGAAAAGCTGTTTTTTCCTTCTTGTGGGACCTTATTTCTCAATGAATAATCGGGGATAACAGCTTCACTTTATTCTTTTTTTTTTCTTTTGAATAATAATGGGATTGCATAGTGCACATAACATTGTGGGTTGGTTTTGAGTTTACTGCTCAAGGAATGCAGTTAACATTAACAGTGATGCTTTTGGTTTTGGTTTCACCAGGTACTGTATGAGATGGGGCCTGCTGCCCCTAACTAACAAGCTACGTGAATCCGCTTGGAAGAAGCTTTACATTCAGGTACCTTTCCTTCCAACAGCTGATAAGCGTAGATTTTTAGCATCTGCAGTTTGCTTATTCAGATATTAGTTTTTTTTATGGAAAAAATTCTACAAGGACAACTACATTTCAGCCTTTTAGAATTTCATAAAAGCTGATGGTTACTTGGAAATACATACTAAAATAGCTTCCAATATAACATAGTCTTAAATACGAAAATAAGCTTGTGGATGAAATTATATAACATAGTCTTAAATACGAAAATAAGCTTGTGGATGAAACACCATAAAATCTGTGATGTGGTTGTGCTATTATTTATTCAATTTCATGTTAATCTCTAAATGCCAGTACTTTAAACTCTAATGCCTTCTTGAGGAAGTTGCAAAGTGAGCTTATAAGGCGCTAAACTTTGACATATCAAATGGAAATGGCTGAAACTTACTGGAAATTTGTCTCTTTCTAAAAACAAGAGATGAACTTTGGAAAATGGTTTATTGCTCTACATTATTCATGAAGCACCAAATTTCAGGCTAAGATGTTTCAAGTGCTTCTTTTGGGCACTTGGTTTTTACTTCCAATAGCTTAGTAGTAGGTTTGCAACATGTAAAGATAGTTCTGTCTTTTTTCTTTGAACCTAGTTGAAAATTAAAATACCTTCTAAGCCATGAATTTTCTCATTTTGCAGCGTGATGAAGAAGATATGGTTGAACTTGTTAGAAACTGCCCAGCTGAATTTAAAGAGTACTACATTCAAATGCAAGCGGCAAAGAGAAGCCAAGCACCCCTTCCTTCACAGGTAACATTATTTCCTTTTCCTAGGAGTTTGAGGTGGAAGATGATCCTTCATAGTGTCAATACCCTCATGTTATATATTTTCCATGGTTGTCTTTTCTAAGATGGTGTCTATGTTTTGGTTTATGTATTTAAATAACGGATTTCCTAACTTAGTTCACGTCTTCTAAACCATGATATAGGACAGATTACATGATATGCATACATGGGGATTATGAGTCAAACCTATATATCACACCTAAAAATTGGAAATTAGAGTTTGGTGGATAGAAAAATAGCTGAAAAATTAACTAGCCCTCACACTTAAGGGTCCTTAAACATCCTAGGACCATAAACATAACACAAAAAGTTAGATTTGGTTGCATTGCACAATCAAACTAAACAAGTATATTGCTGAAGTTCTCTTGATATCTATCTACTCCACATGAAAGAAACAAAGTATTTTTTAAGTCTTTAATCTTAATGTAATCAGATCTTGAAACCCTAGTAAGAAACCTAACATAATTTAAACTGTAAATAAAATCTTGATTCCGTTAAAATCATATCAACAGACTCTTAAACATTATGATAAATACTATATTTGAAAAGAAAACATTTCCCAACCTATTTAGAAACCTTAATCAAAATCTTTTTCACATTATTTCCTGGATGGAGAAAACTTGAATTGTAAGTTTTGAATTGTTTAAGGATCAAAAATATGAACTTGGAACATCTCAAAGAATTGGTTTCTCGAGGATGATGTTAAGGGTTAGATCACAAATCAACATGGCAAAGTGGCTCTACTCATGTTTGGGCTTGCTTGTGGCTCATGTGTGTGCTTCTAGTTACTAGGCAGTGGTGAGCTTAAACCAGTGACCTAAATGTAGATGGGAGTTTTAGATTGGAGATTGGTGTCAGAGACAGCTGTATGAAGTAAGGGATTGTCAGGAACTTGTCCTGATTTAAGAAGAATAAAGGATGAAGAAGGAGAGGAAGTGTCGTCGCACAATATTTTCCATGCTTCATTAAATAAGAATAGACTAGGATATACTAGAATTAGCAAGGTTGGAAATACTACTTTTTAATAAAATACGAAACTAATACTAATAAAAATAAAATCCATAAGTTACTAAAAGTATAATAATAGACTTCTAATTAGTATGAGAATTTTATATATTTCTAATCTATTTAGGCCGTCTTGATACGAGTCTTTGAAAGGAGAATAACCACACTAGGCATCCTCCAAAACTCAGTTTTTATTCATTGTCAATTTAAAATTGAGTAACATTAACTATTTCTGGGTAGTCTTTCCCAATATATTTCCACAAATTAGAGCCATATGCTCTTGAGGAACATCTCTAGCCCTGATGATCGTCCACCAGAACTTCCCACTTCATAAAAGGACAATCTATAGCCATATTAGCTTGAACAGCCTTATTAAAAGTAGTTAAAAAACCAGATGCCTGAGCCTTATGCAGAAATGGATAATTTGATGGGGGGTAGGAATCAGGATTGGATCTGTACAAGGCATTTACTGACACTGTTGGCATAAGCATGTCCTTGCAATCATGTAGAAATTTAAAAATTTATACAATGCAAATTAAAACAAATTGGCAGTTCTAATGTTTATAGGTTGTGCATCAACATGGTTTATTCAAAACTATTCTGATATTGATCTAGAATTAATCTGGTTGGGAATCTGTACCTTGGCCAATTGGTTCAATCTTTGGTTCCAATGCACTCCAAACTCTTCGCTTGCTTGCTGCAATCCTGGAATAAGAGTAAATGCCTCCACTCTAATGTTGTCTACACTAACAAACTTTTCTTTGACTTGGAGTGGATTAATTCGCTTAAGAACTAGATAATGTTTATTTATCTCTTGTGAATTTTCGAGAACGAAGAAATTTCTCTTTTCTCTTTTTGGTGGCTCTCTCTATCTTTTTTGAAAGAAAAAGGTCACTCTATATGTGCCAGCTGGTAGGTAGAAGAGGCAACAATACAAAAGGGAAAACAAAGTGAAAACTCTGTTGAGTTGTGCCTCATATTTAGAGAACTCTACTGTTCAGAAATAGGTACTGGTAAACAGGTGGAGGATTGGTGGTTGTCTCAGTGCTGTTGTTTTGGGTTCGTTGGAGCCAAGGGGTCAGTACAATACTGGAGTTTGTAGGAAGGTTTTTATTTAATAGGGGGCATTATGGCAAAATTGAGTTTCTTCCGTGCATTCTTTATTGGAAAGCACTGGTTCTAAGAGACACTTCTTCAATAGTGAAAAATCTTGTGAGTTGGCTCCATGTAGAATGCATGTCTCTAAACCATTAAAAATTATTTTGATTTTTTCTTTCTGTCCTTTTTACTTTGACTGTGTGTGTTGCTTGGTTAGTTTCACAACAAACCCTATGGGAACTCACAGGTTCCACCATTTTCTTCTCCAACCCATGGCCTGGAGGGTTTTCCTCTCGAGGGAAATTCTAATGGTTCAGCCACGAGGGGAAAAGGGAAAGAGGTTGGAATAAAATGATTTCTTTGAGAAAGAATCACTAGAACTCAACTTGCAGGTTTGCATATCATCCTTAGATGGTGCTCTTTGCCCCTGTTATCCATGCCTGTATTCAGTTACCAATGTTCATATTTTCATTTTGAATTTTTTTAAGCTTTCCTCTGACCATTTCTGAATGTTTCATACATCCTGATATTTAGGTTTGATAAACCTAAATATCAAGATATCTTCCTTGTTGTTAGGCTTAGATGGTGTTGTTAGGCTCTGGGTCTAAGCCTGTATTCAGTTACTAATATTGATATTTTCTGTGTGAATTTTTTGAGCTCTTCTCTGATTTTTTCTGATGTTTCATATATCTTGATATTTAGGTTTGATGTACCTTTGATAAGATAACTTGAATAAGAAGTGTTGTTTATTTATATGGTTTGTTTCTGCTTTTATTTATTTGTTTTTCTAAGGAGTTTCTTTTCTGTTTTTCTAATGAAACATGAAGAGGCAACTGCATCAAACTATCTAACATATTACTATTTTCATCTTTCTTGTTTATGTTCTGCAGGTGAAGGATGATCGAGTAATTCTTGACAAGACAGTACTGGATCAAGTGTCTACATGGAAAAAGAGCAGGGGCCTGACTGACAAGGTCATAACAGGTCATGCTTGTTCTGGGGAAACATGTTCCTACCACCAGATTGGGGATGTATTTGTTTGTGAAGAGACTGGACATGTTCACGGTAAGAAAAACTCCTAGCAACAAAGCAGAACCTCTTTGTCCGTGAAAGCCAATTTCCATCTCTTTCTTTGTCTCTTTTTTCTTTTTCCTTTTCTTTTTTTCAAATATCATTAGAGGTTTAACCTTTTCTTTTCCTCCATTCTTCCATAGTATGTGATGAAAATTGCAGAGAAGTTCTTTTGGACCCTAACAGTGAAATTTTGGTATGCACCATATCGGGGCACTGCTTTGATCGGTTACTCTTACCAGCTGACATGGAAGGAGATCCTGTGAGTAAAAGTTCTCTTTACTTTGCCTTTATTATTTTTGACATCAATTTCTCCTTTACTTGTTCTCATGAAATATTTGAACTTGAAAATTTGTGATTACATTTTCCGTTTATTGAACTTTATTCATGATACTTAATTATAACAGTTTGATATATATTTAGGAGAATATTAGAAAGAGTTTAATAAGAAATTGAATGCAAATCAATCCTATAAAAGAAAAAGATCTTCTAGTTATAGAATTTGGTTATGATTCTGCATTATCGGGAGATTTCCTTGAAGATACCAATCTATGTAGGAAAGACTTGTACAATAAGTCGTATTCCTGCACTCCCTCTCAAGCTGGTTTGAAGATGTTGAGCAAATCAAACTTTAAACTCAATTCTTCGAAAGGTCTTTCTNNNTCATGGGTTAAAGTTCTAAACTCAACATCAGACTACTCCTTGATATCACTAACTATTTTTTGCTTCTCCAAGTAATTAAATTTCCCCCACATATACGTACAGTATTTAGAGGTGAATTTTCTATTAGTTATAAAACTAAACCAGTCTGCATCAGTATATATTTGAATTTCTTGGCTTATGTTTTTCTTGAAAAACAGTCCTCCATATGTCATTTTTAGATATTTGAAAATTCGAACACTGCCTCCATAAGTTCCTAGTTTGTGTTATTTATGAATTGACTTACCATACTAAGGATGGAACTAATATATAGTATAGTATGTTAGGATTTATTGGTGTGTCTAGGCATGTATCTAAGAACTCCAATCACTTTTGGAAGGTCCAAATTTTCATTGAGAAATTGAGATTTCTTTCCTTAACCTAGCAATTTTCATTTTTAAGAAGTATTTGAGATTTTCGAAGTTTTTAATCTCTAATTATTTTGGTAAGATCTTTTTTAAGTATGAGTATCTCCTCTATGTCTTTTTTTGTAATTATCATATCATCTACATATACGATAAGGATTGCCATTTTTTCTGAAGGATCATGCTTGAAAAATATAGCATGATCTGTTTGGCATTGAAATATCCAAATCTCTTGATTGACTTACTGAATTTGTCAAACCATGCTTGTAGAGATTGTTTGAGTTCATATAAGGACTCTTTGAGTCGGCGTACCTTTCTGTTGGTAACTTGATTTGCAAAGACAGGTTGTATATCTATATAGACTTTTTCCTCTAGTTCTCCACTAAGAAAAATATTTTTGGCATCTAGTTGAAATAATGGTCAGTCCAAATTGGCAACTACAGATATTAGTATTTACACTGTGTTAAGTTTTATCATTGATGCAAATGTCTCCTGATAATCGATTTCACATAATTAAGTAAAATTTTTGGTTACTAATCAAGTTTTGAACTTGTTGATGTTATCATTAGCATTATATTTGTTTGTGAACATCCATTTCACAACCAACCGAGTGTTTCCTAGGTGGTAATTCTGCTATTTCCCAAGTTGCATTCTTGTTTAAAGCTTGGATTTGCTCCATGATTATAGTTTTATATTTAGTTTGGTATTTATGTTTTATAAATATTTCTCATAAATATCTAGTGATTTGATGACAAACTTTTGTAGAAAAAAAATTGTGAATTGGATTATTAATGCATGCTCTTTTGGTTTTCTTAGAGCAATAAGTCTATCATCATACAGATTATCAAGGGAGGGATATGAATTTGGGTTATCTAAAGTACTCAGTGATGTTGCATCTAGATTCGAATTGAATTCATGACTCTGATTGAGCGGTTGTGGCTCTTTTTCTTCTTGGTTTTTGTTTCGTTTAGTGTAGGTCTGAATGTGGTGAGTAGGTTTAGATCCAAGTGTCTCATCGAAATTTATGTGTTGTGAATACTGAATAGGTTTACTTAGAGAAGGATGAAGATATTTAATGGTAGAGTCCCAAAATTGGGATTCTTGTGTATTCTTTTTTCCCTGAATACCAATTTTGTAGTATAGTTAGTTTTTATGAAACTTAACATTTATGGAATTATAGAAATTCTGGGTGACTGGTGAATAATACTTATATCCCTTTTGGTTTGATAAATACCTAATAAGTATATTTTATTATTTTGAGATCTAGTTTGCTTTTGTGATAGTTTTTGTATGTGAACAAAGGATGAATAACCAAAGACTTTGGTAGGTAGAATAGATGGAAGTTGAGTGGTAGGAAATGATTAGAATATAACTTAGTAAGGTATTTGAAGCTTGAGAATCTTGGAAGATATTCTATTAATAAATTAAGTTGCAGATAGAATAATTTGCCCTGAAAAAATTTTTGGAACCTAAATTGTGAACATGAGGGACCAAACAACGTCCAAGAGATGTTTATTCTTCCTTTCAGCTATTCAATTTTATTAAGGGGTAACACATGAATTTTTGATGAACAATTTCCTTTTTCTCAAGATACATATCCAATTCTTTTTCAAAATATTCTTTTGTATTATCCGTTTTCAGCACTTGTATTTTTGTTTGAAAATTGAGTTTGGACCTTGTTTAATTTTTTAAATATATTACCAACTTTCAACTTTTCTTCATGAGAAATAACCATACAATTTTTGTAAAATCATCTATAAAGAATATAAAACATCTAGTACCAATAATATTATTGATTCTAGATAGTCTCAGACATCATTTTGTACTATAGCAAATAGTTAGGGCCTTTGTAGGGCAACATGGGATATATAGTACAAGTACATTTTGATAATTGACATACTTCACAAAAATTTTTTGGATTTTTATTTCTGAATAAATAAGGAAATAATTTTTAAAGATATATAAAGTTTGGGCGTCTCAATTTAATAAATAGCATAACATATTTATACTAAAATTGTTTAAGTTGGATTGTCTTGAAACTCAACACATATCGCATTATGAAATTGTCTCCTGAAATATTCATTATCCTTAAGAGAAAGAGCTTGTAGTACTCCTTAGCATTGTCAATTTTTCTCAAATTCAAATCGCGAAATTTACATAAGTTTGAGGAAAATTTAGCAACATATTATGATCTTGGGTAAATTTCCTTACTAATAACAAGTTGCAACCCAAATTAGGTACATAAAGTACTCCTTTTAAGGTGTTAATCCTTTGAGATGATCTATTCCAACTATCCTTGAGTGAGATCCATCTGCTATTTTTACCATAAGGTTCCCTTTACATGAATTATATTCTTGAAACAATATTTTATTTTTTGACATTTTTATTTTCAAGTATCTTGATTTCCTGAAATAACATTAAGAGCAGCAAAAGAATTATCTTCTTGGGCTGTCGTCCCAAGGAGCCTATCTGTGTGTTTTCTTTGCTCAAATAGAACTGAACATTGTCAAGTAAAAGATCTTGTTCCTAAGTGATGCCTGTCAATTTCTGATATGATCTGATCGTGTTCCCACAGACCAAAGAAATACTGCACTGTCAATCTCCCTTTCTCCTTCCAAAAGAACATTGTCAAATAAAACATCATGTTTATGTGCGTATAATTGGTTTATACACATTTTTTGCAGGAACTGCTTAGTTGGAAGCATCTTTCAATATTAAATGCCTGTCATTGGCTGTTACTTCTCGATCAAATTGTTTCCATTCATATATCTTTTCTTTTTGTGCTGTATGAATATATCGCAGAACTGTAATTTTTCTTTTCTTTTTGGGTTTAGGATATGAAATTGATCCTTTGCCAATAAGTGATGGTTACAAGTCTGCCGACCCTAAGGAATAAAGGGGAAGGGGATAGAGAATGTTGTAAATGACATTTTGCTCTTTTTTAAAAAAAAAATTATAGAAGTTTAATCCATGCATGTTATAGACAAAAAATTTGGTCCCTATTCTACTCAACTGTTGAAGATTGATGGCCTGTGAAATTTGTTAGTTTCTAATACATTTTTACGCTCATCTAAAAATTTCAGGAACAGCAACAAGGTGGTATGGCAGATGAAGCAGAACCATTTATGGGATCTGGCCGTTTTGGTAGTAGATGTTATGTTTGATCTACTCTAGCATTCATGTTTTTCAGCTTGCTTTTTAATTTTTTTTAATGTGTGTGCATATTTTTGGCAGCACGAGCTTATTTATTGGGATATAACTGTGCTGATGAGAAGGAACTACAAGCGGCTTTGAGGTTCTGCTGATCCAAATCTTATTTTTCTTTTAGGCTGATATTTATTTAATCATGTTCCTAAGTGGCACTGTATACTAAAAATATGCCATATGTATGAGTTTGCTGAGCAAGTTAAAGTAAGAATTAAAATGTATTAACATGGTTTTAGGCAACAGCGATTGCTTGCATAGCTTCTGTTTTATCAAAATTAGGGAGTGATCTTCCCGTGCAGTCTATGCTGGAATTTTTAAAATTTCCAGCTTTTGGTAGATAGGATATTTTGAACAAGAATTGGTGATAGAAATCTTGAACTTTTATTTTGACATCACGTCATGACATTGGAGGTTGCATGTTGTGCTCCACTGGGAAATCTGCCATCTTCGGCCAGCTGAACAAAACATGAGGTGTGAAACAAATAGTAATCTTTTCATGCAAAATTTGATAAGGTAAAGTTGATATAGAGGTTAAAAATTGTAAATTATAATTGAAAATTTTAAGACATATTTTGGATTAAAAATTTTCAAAATTCAAGAGCCTGTTTAGAAGCTCCACGCTGTAAGGAAATCATGAGCCAAGTTATTTTTGCAAAGATCCTCTATCTCTGTACTTTGGTTTTAGGTAAGCTGACTAAAAGCAATGCAATCAATTAACCTTAAAAAAAAAAAAGAGAAAAAGAAGCCATTTTACTTGACAAGTCTATAGTTGGGTAAAGCCTTTCATCCCGTGGAAAAGAGATTCTCCAAATTGATTTAGAAAAGATGAGGGAAGTGTTGAAGAGGGAAAAATGCTTGCTTCTTAATCTTCGTGTATTTAGTTCTTATTCGGTTTCTTACTGGCAACCAGTGATAAGTTTGCTATTGGGAATTACTTGCCATTGATATTTTCTTTTCTTTTCTTTTCTTCTCTTCATTTTCATTTTCCTCTTTAGTTTTCTTTTCGTTCGGGTTTTTGGCTTCTGTTGTTCAATTTTATTTTTAAAACTTTTATAACTTTTTACATTCAAATTTTTTTTTGTCATGCCATACACTAGAATTGAAGAAAAAAGAGTGACAATGACATCTCCTATTTGATATAAGCAAAAAAGTGAGCCAAAGAATAAAATTTTCTTTGATATGAACGAAAACACAAAATTTATCCGACATAGTTGTTTCAAATAGAAATATTTTAAAACTTCAAAATGAAATATAAATATATTAAAATTTATTTGCTAGTTTAAAAAAACGTTTAATATCATTTAATAAGATTTCTTATAAGTACAACACCAAATAAATTAAAATTTAAAAGATTTAATCCTACAAAACTCATATCCAAAAATTATTAATAATTACATTTGAGTAAGTACATGAGATTTAAATAGAGGACAACAATAAGGTTGTAACATGCACTGGGGACATGTATATATACATATATATATTATTAAATAGTTTGAAATTTTAAAATTTTCTGCCACAATCGATAAAATCATTCGTGGAATTTTTTTTTTTTTTTTTTTTTTTTTTCCTTCTTGCTTTCTTTCAACTAAAATATATGAACACAACAATCTGAGTAATCCTAAATATGGATTATTATTTTATTTTGTAGAATGCAACCAGATTATAGTATTTCCAAATAAGTGGGAAAAAACAATTAAGGTTAGCATTCTTAGTTTTAGTGTAGGAAAACTGACTTCAAAACATTTGTACCATTAAAATAATAATTTTTTATATTTTAAATATAAAAATATATTAATATTAGAGGCTCTAGTTTCATTACAAATTTTCTTATCGTTTAAAAATATATTAATATGGAGCATGTAAATTTCGCAGAAAATATAAATTTTATTTGCAAATGATACATTTGTATTCATATGTTAGATATATAGAAATACAAGCTTGCAACTACACTTTTTATAAGATCAAATTAGATATTTCTAACACCATCACTGTTATAACACAAGGATAATAGAAATTTAATCAGAGGAGGAAAAAAGAAAGAACTAATTTCCATTATTTTAGCATCCTTGTGTTTTTCTTTGTTTCAATCTTCTAAAGTTTATACAGTATCATATCATCTATAATTATTGTTACTAACAACGTTCCAAAAAGCAAACAAAATTACCCATAATTATTTTTCATACAAATAAGCCACCCAGAAAAATAATATATATATATATATATATATTCAAAAGCCATACTATCATAAACAATGAAAAAGTTACTTATGGTTTCATTCTAATGCTAGTTCTTGGAATACTTTATACAGTGATAAATAATGAAAAAATAATTGCAACTCCTATTTTATAGTTGCACTTAGTGTGAGAATGCATTGTGGCTTGCAACATTATTAACTTAATTGAAAATTCTTTACGAAATCTAAAAATTGAATAAGAGACAAAAATGTTATCTACAATAATCAAAATTAGTCTACGGACTCTTCTAACTAAAAATAAAACAAGAAGATCTACACTTCATGAAAATTGACATAATTTGAAGACCTATTTTCCTAATTCTACATGAAATTTCTTTAAAAAATTAATTTTTATCTTCCAACATCATTATCCAAAAAATTTTATATTATAAATAAAACAATATTCCAATTCTAAATTAATTCTGTATCTAGTTTTAAGTATTTTTATAACTCATTATTCCCTAAGTATGTTTTTTACAAAATTAAATATGAGGGTAAGGAGCTCAATTAAATAATTAAATATAGAAACTAAAATAAAAATAAAATAAAGCAGAACCAAATGCAACATAAGCATGTCTCAAACCCAAAAATATTAAATATACTGCAAATACATACCCTTACTTTCAAATAGAATTTCTTCAAACACCTCCTCCTCTTGGCAACTTCATCTCTTTTCATACCCATCAGGTTTTTGGTCAAATCCCTTTGGATTTGCAAAAGGCTGCTCTATAAGCCCTCCCAATGTTGCATTTGCAATTACAATCATAAATTCAAAGCTGCTGACTTTCAGCTATATAATCTTCATGTAACACCCAAATTATTATTTTTATTTTTATATTTGAATTTTAGTTTTATTTTGTATATATTTAATTTATAAGATTTTAATTTAATTTAATTTAATTTAATTTAA